AGTTAATTCCACATGCAGTGTTTACATTATGATATCTATATTTGCTTTATTCAGCTTCAGAGTTGAGTGAGGTAGGGAATGTGATTGATTTCCCTTCTATACTTTGTTTTTCCTGGTATTAATAAACACTGGTTTTTTCATTAGTAGTTTTCCTCCATTTACTTATGAGTACTTTACCCTAAATTCTTCTCCAGTTTTCTGAATCTCTTCCCCACACATTGAGCACATCAGATGTTCTCTTATTTTCATCTTCCTGATGGAATCACCCCCTGACCTACCCTTTGAACTAGGTGCCCTTTATTCCCAGTGCTTAGCTCTCCTCCTGGGATCTCCCTTCATCGTGATGATGGAGATTCCACTGGATTCTCGTCTGTGTTCAACTCTGTTTCTTATATCCACATCATCCTCTTTCTTGGTTTATTCTCTCATTTTGGTGGAACACATCCTCTAGTAGCTTTCTGAGACAGGGAGAGGATGTGGGAGAAAAGAATTTTCAGACTCTACTTTCTGAAACTCTTAATGCTACCCTCATACTTGATAGTTTGGTTGAATATCTTCTTATATTTTTAGAATTATAAAGTATAGGAAAACATTTTATGTCAGAAAAAGAGATAAGAATTATATGGAAAAGTGAATTAACATTTTCCTAAATTTATCCATCCAAACTCTGAATCCAAAGGACCAGAGCTTTCTGCTTCTCTTCAAAACGGTTGAAAACCCACAAGCCTTAATGCCAAATAGGTGAATTTTACATTTCTACTTCTTTTATATTTTCAAACAGGGGTCTATTTGTGATGACTATATGATGACCTTATGCTGTCCCTATTGTTCTCTTTGCCAAATCAAAAGAGATATCAACAGAAGGAGAGCCATGCGTGCTTTTTAAAAAAGTGGTGGTGAGTAAAAGCAACATATCTCCTAGACTCCATGGATTTTTAGAAATATAATTAAGGAATTTATAAATGATTTATTGTTTTAAGCAATAATTCAGTAATAACAATTTCGTAAGTCTCACAAAATACTATAACAATGTAAAGAATTATTTCAGTTTCTTCTTATGAAGAAGGTTGCTCTATACTTTAAAGCCATATCTTAGTAAATAAAGGAATGGGGAATTTTCTAAACTTCTCAGAATTTTGTTGGTCTATTAATGAAGCACATACCACTTGTAAAATACCAGAGCATGGTGAGATTCAAAAGAAGTAGAAAACATGCCCCTTGCTAAGACAAGCAAATTAATAAAAGAAACTGGAAAAAACATAATTATAAAACAATAAATCAAATGGAAATTACATATTGTGTAATATTTGCGTTGATTGTGGCATAAAGCATTTATCATAGTGAGGTGAAGTTAAATAGAAAAGTCCTGCTGGAGAAGGTAAACTTTGAGAGGGATTGATATTGAATTTAGAGTACTTAGAAATGTTATATAGAATTTCACCCTCGGAAATTCAATCAAGTTATTTGCAAATAATTTTTCTCAGGATTAGCTATTGAAAAGGTAATTAAATAAAAATCAACATAATTTTGTCAGTCTTCTATATAATATATCTTGAGTGTGGGAAGAAAACATTAATTTTTCCATTCTTTGCAATAGCCCACTTCCTTTCTCACGTGGCTGAGGACTCTCGATAGGTTAACAGAAATAACTCTGGGGAAATGTATTGAAAAAATGTTTGGACTGGCCAGTTAGCTCAGGTGATCA